CTACTATATACAGAAATGTGAAAGTTGCTTTCTGGGGTGTAGTGGCCTACCATAAACTGTAAACTGTGCAGACACATTATCTCTCTTTCTGGTTCCTTATTCAAAAAATTGAACTGTGCTGACGTCGTAGCTATGAGCCAAGTGCAAGCCAAATATTTAAGTTGTTTTACACTACGTACCCTTTTAATGGTTTGAAAAGTTTTAATTACAGCCAAGGGCACCTATTTGACACTGAAAACAACTTTCTAAAATTATTTTTATTATTGTCGGAGATTTGAAACAAATCAACTTTTCTTAAAATCTATTTTTCTTTGGATTGCGAGAAAGAGAAACACATGATTTTTTTCTTCCGTTCTCTTTATTTCACTTCTGTATCTGCTTTAAGAGTAAATCATCCACTCATTTACAGTTCCAAATTCAGGTTGGGGATTTGGGCAGTTGTTTGTCCCACTCATTCGGGTCCTAGATGCCATGTAGAGTGTGTCAGGCCATTTTCATGGCTTATTGACAGCAACATGCTGCGCTGAACCCACTGGGCACGTGCAGTCTAACAAATGGCTGCCACTAACACCGGCTTTCACTTTGTGATATTTCTTCCCAGCACAACCCCAAAAATGACTGACAAGAGTAGTTTATTTTGAAATGTTTTGTTTGTGTCTTCTGCCTTCACACAGTGAGCATGCTGCATTTTGATTAAAAAGAAAGTCTGGCCTAGATAAAATGGCTATGAAGCTGATCACAGTAAAACATCATTTGACAAGTCAGTTGTGCTGCAAGGCATTCCCACTTTGGGGACTTAAGGTAATCAATTTATGAGCTACAGTCAAGTATCAGCCATCTTAATCTAAAGTGTCAATTTGATCAGTTAGAAGCACTTCTGCCTCTTGAATTAAGAAAGTTGTGGGTTCAAGCCACACTCCAGGATTTCAGTGCAAAATCTGCTTGACTCACAGTCCCTCAGTATGGCACGAGTTTTATTGCTGGAGGTGCCATAATTCTAATGAGATGCTTAACCATCTGCTTTTCTGCTTGTTTTTTTTTCCCAGAGTCATTCTGGTATCCTGGGCAACATTCTTCCCTCATATTACATTAAAAACAAGTTCAAAAATGCACATGTATTCAAAAGCTCTTTGTCATGTCATCACAATATCCCAAAGTACAGAACTTAATATAAAAATGACAGATTAACTGATCATTCACTGCAATAATGTTTATAGAACTTACTCTGTGCACAGTCTCACTGTGATAAACAGGACTGCAAAAACTGGTTTGCTGATATACCAGCACCATTGATTGCTCTACAAATTAGTGGTGATGTCCATTAAGAAGTTTGCGAAATAACTTTATTTTCAATCTGTGGCGTTTCATTGTTTTGTAGCTGTAAAATTGGCTTGCCTTTATGTAAAAAAAAGTTTTGTTTTAATATTTTTAAAGCAAACATGCAGATCTGTACATTGCTTGTTTGCAACATTCCTGGTGTATGGTTTTGTACTGTCCTTCAATCAGAGATATTCTAAATTCAATGGGTTTTTTTTAAGCCTCAATGGAATGACCATATATCTGTTATACAATGTTAGCAATTATACATAACTTCTACTTGAGACTGCAAGATTAATATTTTCCATGAGTGTTTGAAATTATAGGTCTTTTACAATACATTTAAACTTTACACGTTGATGCATATTCTGGCACTACATTTTAACCCATGGGTGTTGAAATGAAACTCTGCGCAATTAACCAGGTCTGTTAAACTGTCAACATCAACAATTTAGCAATTCTACTACTTGAGTTATAGTCTATGACCAGTGTCAATTTGCAATCATTTGTTTATAATTATACCAGCACCAGTTTGAAGCATATGGAGAAATCAACTGGAAGTACCCTTTTTAATTAGATAAATGATCCATTTTAACATCTGTCTCACTGGTGCCACTGTAAAGTAAAGCACTAAATAGCACCAGTGGTTTAATTTTTCCATGGATTTGTTCAACGCAGACTCTTTACGTGCACTCTGCATTCTGATGTTCCAGCTTCTCAGACCTTTCAAGAATCCGAACAAGATGGACATATCATGGATGAACCTATGCATTGTGTCAGCTACAATGAATATAATTTATCTACTAAATTATGCACAAGTGGCACAACTGAAGCTGCTATCAAGAATCTTAATTGTGATATTTGATAGTTACATTTGCAATTCTTTAAGTAGTCTGGAATTGATGCTTCTGAGTTTCAGGGTATAGAATACATGCTTATACGTATGTGAATCCACCAGGACCGCATGAGGAAGGTCTAATGACTCCCCTCTTGACCCTCTCTTCATTTGAACATGACAGGATTTTTTTTTTTTAAATGTCTGCACTTGCCAGTTCAGAGTATTTAATAGATTATGTACTGTAATCATAAAATAATACATTTTCTTTGAGTTTAACAAAAAAAGACGGCTTTACTATACTTAAACCAGCCGCAGTGAAATAATAAAACATGCTTTAATTTATTTTCTCTCTCACTTTCTTAGACCTTTCTTTCTCTGTCACACACGCACACTCTTACACACACGGTCGTGCATCCACTCTCTGCCACGCGCACTCTCGCACACACCTCCACGCGCACACCCAAAGTTTGCACATGCAAACAAATAAATTAGTCAAATTAGAGTTCTTAAAATAAGAGTCGTATAGTCAATCATAGTTTTTTTTTATTTTTAGCACATACCTATCATATGTGATTTAAAATGTAGTTCGCCAAAGAATGAAGGAGCCAATTTCCAAAGTTTTGTTGTGAAAGAAAGGAATTTTATTATCTACTAAGTCCATGAACAAAAAAGAATTAAGTGTGTCATGGAATAAGCACAATCACAGGTGATAAATTTAAAAGTGAGTATCTGTTACAGACCGTGAGAATAAAGGTTACAAGATTCAAAAGTCCTGAGTGTTCTTGAGATGTTATAAGTTGAGATACAGTTATTATTATTGACCTGCTCTTCTCGGTAGTAGTGAAATTTGTAGATGTAGTCTTAGTGAATGGTTGAAGCACCAATTTGCTTTTCCACTTGACATTATTTTGTGTGATAATTCCAAGAAACATACAGGGACAGAGGGGTATAAAAGAGTCTTTTAGTTCTTGTGTATAAACCCATTTCTCCTTCTCTCTTTGCTCTGCAGTTTAAAAGCATCTCTTAAAATAGACATCAATTTATACTCCTGAGTCTGGCTGCCCTATCTTTCCAAGCTGGCTAACTGGAAGACAGTTTTTGCATTCTCAATATGTAAAGTTATCATACAAGTGTGATTTGAAATGAGAAATGCAAATATCTTGATGCTGGTACAGTTGCCTAGTTGTAAAATCATTAGATTAAAATAGCAATTTCAGTGTGGATGCATGTTGCTCCTGTTGCTTACCTCTGTCAATCAACTACTGTAACTTTTTGAGGTTCAAATTGCTGTATTTTTATAAAGCATTTTAGTTTCTTAGGAAGTCTTGGGTATTACAATCAGATGAAAGAAGTTAAATTTTGAGAGTTCAAATTTACCACTATTAAAACAAAATACAGTGAGGCATGTGTTAATATCTAATCCATGTAAATTGCATTATTTGTGTAGCTTCTTGTAGATGTAACAATAAGGCCAATTATTATTCTTTTAAATGAACTACATGAGAACAGAGTGATTTATCTTCTCTGGTTGCCTGTTTATTCTACGTTGGTGAGGTAACCTGACAAATGACTCTTAGGCTAATAAGTGCTTTGTTTTATTTATGAACTGATTTTTTTACTAAATATTTTTCGATTGAATGGAAGAATGTGTTTACGTTATTTCTTTAAGCTCTGGTTATACATTTGGCCTGTCTAGTTCTGCATCTGCCTGATCGAAATAAATGTTTCTGGGTCTGTTTAAAGTTCATCCTAGAATTCTTTTTCGACCTGTAAATTTGTGGAACATGAGCGAGCGGCAAATTCTCAGGAGCAATGCTGGATTTATGCAACAGCATTTAGACACTAATTCTACTTGGATCTTTCAGTTTATAGAAACTATTTTCAGTTGTCTGCAAATTGATATTCACTGATTTTGCAATACCCTTGCATATGTTTGGAGTTTGCCCTGAGCTGTAAATGTAGTCCCACAAACCATTGACTACAGTGGTTTACAGGATATCATGGGGCCTGTTGGTTCAAAGCCATGGTATGTGTCTGGCCTCATAGAGTAACACCTTTCTTTTCTTCATGGAGCCAAGCATACACATAAAGGGCAAGATCGCCTTGAGTGAAAAAGCACAAGCTCATCTATGGTTACGGATGACTCCATATCCAACATGATACACTCAACAAACTACAATTTTATCACTGTCTACATAACATGTGAACCAGTTTGTTAACCCCAGAGAGTGAATTTAACAAAATTGGAACAGTGTGTGTATAAAAGTGGTCTTGACTGTGTTTTGTGAATCTTGGCTACTTGTAGTACAAAAGGTGCTGGTAATGTCAACTTTCTCTTTTTTTTTGATTCCAAGCCAAGCAAAGAGAGTTTTACGTGAGAGATAAACACCAAATGAAACACCATAAATTTCTTAATGTAACTTTTAATTATGTGCTAATTTTAATTTGGTTAAGTGATTTCTAGACTGGACTTTTTCCTCTGAAAAGGATTGCTTCACTCAGTAAACACTGGTTGGTTAAATGCAGCCTTGTAGGTTAATGAGGGTAAAATTAGTGTTTTATTGGTCATTCAGATTTGTGATTAAATTGAATTACCTCTAAATTGATGTACAAAGTCTCCTTGTTTCAGCAAAATACATAAAGCAATGCAAATTAAAATATTAAATTTACAGTTATTGGTGCAATGTTAGTAGAAATTCAGAAATGTTGCACTGCGATTTCTGGACGGATGCTTTAGTTCTTGCCTGAGAAGCTAAAACTGGCTGCTCTTTGAATATTAATATGCACTGACTGAAATACTTTATTCCATCACAACTGATTTGTACTATCTGTCAATTATTTACAGATCCAGTGATTGTGTGGAAGTTCCCAAAGGATTTCAGAGACCAGGTCTGAAACATGATTAACTTTTTATTTTCATTTAATTTGCTTTCCTGTGACAAGGTGGAGATGAATGAAGTCAGTGAGCAGATCTCCCCAAAATAACCCAAAGCAATTGCAGTACGGGCAACATTATATTTGATTAATGATAGGTCACTTATTTTAATGTTGATTAGAGTCTTTTAATTACATTGTTCTTCTCAGCACCCTTAATTTATCTCTAGACATGGGTAGTTCCTGATCAAAAAAAAAATGTAATTGCTGAGCTTAGAAAGCAGATTGTAATGCTCTTCAAAATGTAATTCAGTCAATCTCATTGCAATAAGTTACTTTGTCATTGTATATACAGCAAATAGTATGAGTTGAAACAGCAACAGTTAACTTGCTCATCATAGCTGGATAGCTCTTATTGACTGGTGATGTTAGGTAAGGAACAGGAACAGGAATCGGTCATACAGTCTCTCAAGTCTGTTACCCAAGCTTGCCTCTCAAAAATTGATGTATCTCAGTTTTAACGACAACAGCTTTTTAAGGGGGAAAATGTTCCAGATTAACCACTACCCTTTGTATTGAGTGCTTGTGGGCACCACTCTTGGACCTAGATTTTATTTGAAGGTTAGGGTCTCTTGTTTTGGACTTCTCATCAGAGGAAATAGCTTTTCTGTATCTGGCCTATCAATTTCCTTCAGTCACCATATTTATTTGTTTTACCCTTTACTCTTCTGTATTTGAGAGAACACAAACACAATCTGGGCAACATATCCTCAAAATATATCTCCAGTATATGAAACTGTTCTGTATCCACTCCAAGGCCAATATATGTTTTCAGAGGTGTGCCCAGAACTTGAGACCTTGTTGCAGATTTGACCTAATCAGGGTTTTTTTTCACAACTGGAGCATAACTTTCCAGCTATTTGTATTTCACTCACATAGAGATGAAGGTTAACATTCATTTAACCTTTTAAATTATACATTGTATGTACTACAAGTTTGTTTAATGATTTTGTACATATGGATTATTTACAATACAAGTTAATGGCTTAGATGGCAAAAGTGAACATTCAATGGCTAGGTTTGCAGATGATATAAACATATGGGAAGGCGAGTGGTGAGGATAACCCAAAGTGTCCGTGGAGGGATATAGACATATTAAATGAGTGGACAAAAACTTGCTTGATGGAATATAATGTGGAGAAATGCAAGATTAGGCAGTTTGGACGAAAGCTACAGAACGGAGGGATTTAAACCTATCATCCATGTTCAGCAGGTAACAGGGAGGGCAAGTGGAATATTGGCCTTTATTTCAATGGGGATTCGAGTATACAAATAGGGAGGTCTTGTTAAAACTGTGCAAAGGACTGGTCTGACCACACTGGAATGTTGTTGACAGTTTTGGGCCCTTTCCTGAGGGAAAGATACACTACCATTGGAGGCAGTCCAGAGAAGGTTCACTAAGCTGATATCAGGTATGGAGGGACTGTCTGGTTGAGTTATTTGGGCACGTACTTGGAATATACAGGAATGAGAGACAACCTTAAGGAACCATACAAGATTCCTAGGGGCCTTGACAGGGTAAATGAGGAAAAGTTGTTTCCCCTTCCAGCAGAGTCTAGAACCATAGGGCATAATCTCAGAATAAAGGGTTGCACATTTAAGACTGAGATCAGGAGGAATCTCTTCTCGGAGGGCAATGAATCTGTGGAATTCTTTACTGCATAGGGCTGTAGAGGCTGGATCATGAAGTGTTTTTCATCAGTAGAGCAATCAAGAGTTATGGGAAAAGCAGGAAAGTGGAGGTGAATATTATTGACTCAGCCGTGATCTCTTTGAATGAGAGCAGACTCGATTGGCTGAATGGCCTACATCTGCTCTTATGTCTTATGGCCTTATGCTGTTATGACACACTTATGAAAGTAGTTTAATTGGGATGCTGCCTGAACATCATTTACAGATAAAACAGGCATCAATGTTTTACTTTTGAGGGCATGAGAGTTACTCGAGTACTTGTAGCTCCCAGGAACCAAAAATTTGGTTTTCAAGGCCTTCTTTTTCAATTTCAATATCTCCATTATTTTGTGGTTGCAATGAGGTAGTAACATTATCTCCTGCATTTGTGTTGCCATATGGGGTATTTGGACTTGCACAGAAGCAGGATGAGGAGAATTCAACACTATCATCAATAATCATCATCCCTCCATTAAACTTAAAAGTCACAAAGCATAAGGAAAGTGTTAATTTCCTCAAAGCAACAGTATTTAAATTGGTACAAGATCATGCACACACACAAGTTGGTATCATAAAGATTTTCAAAATAACTGATGTATCCCGACACATAAAAAAAACACATTGTAAGCGTGCACTTTTGCAAAAAATGGAGAAACTGCATCTAATGCTTTTTCAAAACACATGCTCAGTACTGGTAGGTTTTAACCAGCCACCTTCCTGTTACCTTCCTTAGTGCCTTTCGGAACTCAATCTCGGACTTCAATTGAACAGTTGGCACACTGTACATTACAGTAACAATTGACATATTTTACTTTGAAAAGTAGCTCCTGAACTTATGCAGCCTGCATTCATTTTCAAGGATTTCATGACCACAGTTACCATAAGTTTCCAGAATCCTACTCGGCTGAGTATTCATTGGACTGGTTAAAACGTGTACTGTGTCTGCAGCCTCATCTCTCCCTCTTCTGTCTTACTCTATCTCTTGCATCCCTTGCAGACTGTTGAACTCTCTCTTTCCACACCACCTCCCCCCCCGCCGTGCTCTCTTCCCCATCTCCTCCATCTCTTTGCAGATTCCCTTTAGTATCCCTGCTCGGATGCTCTTTGCAAAGGCCTCCACCCGTCATGAGTGAGCTTGGCAGCATTAAGTATGGAGAGACACAGCCGGTGATTGGAGAAGCGGTCCCTCTAAGAGTCCTTTGGCTCCTGTCAGGGTACCGTTTTCCTTAATTGGTTGACAATGAAGAGTGTTTTTTTCACGGGTGCTTTCTGGGCTTTCAGCAGAACATTCACCCAGAGTGTCATGTTTCACACGCTGAAATACGGACACAGGTTAACACGGAAGTACATATTGCTTGGAGTTTTATAGCCTTCAACTCATTCAAAGCATATTTTTGTCTTTTTGTATTCTTGTTGATAAGGTCAAAGTTTGCATCAAATAAGCCACCATCACTTACACTTTGGACCTGCATATGAAGAAAGGTCACTCTTTTAAAAAGTATGTTGATATTAATTGCAACATACCCCAGCATGAGTAAGGGATAGAGATGACAACAACTTGGAAATAAAGGTGCAATATTATTATATGTTAGCCTAAACAGCATTGTGAAGTGTAATCAATATTGTCTTTGCAGGCAGTCAAATGATTACTTTATTCCACTTAATGGAGGAAGCTTCAAAACATTTGGGGAAGCAAAAGTCTGCATCAGGTTTTTAGTTATGAGCAAGCTTCTGCTTGTGTTTTTTTCTCTGTAAAAGGTATTTGCTATCAGTGCCAGCAGAGTGAACCTCATTTTGTGCTGCAGGCTATGTTCTGACCACACTTTGTGCATACCCTCGTCTCCTTTGTTGTCCAAAAGCCCAACTGGCTTCCTGGGGCCCAAAGAATTGATTTTAAAGAAGGAAAATTACCATTTTTATAGCATCTTTTGAGGTCTCATGGTCTCCCTATTTGCTTTGTGGGTATTTAAGCTTTTTATGAGGTGAAACTGTTATGGTAATTTTAACAGTGCGATGACATGGCTGCTCTTCTGCTTTATATTCTGTTAGCCACCAGTCCCTACCTGCACCACCCCTCTTCAGACACATGCTTATTTTCTCTCTCTTCCTCTCTCTTGTTCTGTTGCACTCTTGTTCATTCTCTCTCCACCTCCCTCTCGTTTGTTTGCCCTCTCTCCCTCCCTCACACCTCGTTTGTTCTTCCTCTCCCTTCCTCACCCTCTCGTTCAGTCTTTCTCTCTCTCTCTCTCTCCACCCCCGCTCTTGTTCGTTCTGTCTCTCTCTCTTCTGCCCCACCCCATTCGTTCTTTCTTTCTCTCTCTCTGTCCCCCATTCGTGTTCTCTGTCTCTCTCCCACCTCTCATTTGTTCCCTTGCTCTCTTTCTCCCCCCCCTCTTGTTTGTTCCCTCTCTCTCCCCCTCTCGTTCGTTCTTTCTCTCTCTCTCCCCCTCTCTCGTTCGTTCTCTCCCCCTCTCTCGTTCGTTCT